CACACACACACACACACCATAATTTCCCATCCCCTGTCTTTATGCTGGTTACTCAGCCTTGTCATCTTTTTTTTGATTTGCAAATAAAATCACGCTCTCTGTTCTCTCTGGAAGACTTTTATCAGAACCATCCAGCCCTGAACAGAGAAGCATTTCAAGATCAAAAGGGAGGCAAATAATACTCTTTCAGACGCAAGATAAAGATTCACACATAATTAAGCCGGAACTATAGGATTATTTAAGTGGCTATATCTTTTAAGAATAATTGAACTGCAATAAGCTATTCAAAATACTGGGGCCAGGACTGAAAAAGAAAGGGAATTGACAAGGTGTTTGTTGAGGACAAGGGGAGAAGGGAGTGGATGGGGAAGAGGGAGGGACAGGTAATGGTTTAGCAGTGTCTGTGTATGCCGGGCCCTATGTGTGGTTCATCAATGAGGTAGGGATCATTGAACCCCACTTTAAAGATAAGGAAATGGGGGATCAAAGTTAAGTTGGCAAGGTGGATGGAAAGAGGCAGTTATTCCATTATTTCTGTCTCCAAGCCCATGCACTTCATGGTGTCCTAAACTGCCGTCCATCACCTCCTTGAGGGTAGAACAAGGGCCTGTTAGAGTAGTCACTCATTCACAGGACATGTCTTGAGTGCCCCCTATGGAACAAGTGCTAGAACAGACACTCTGAAGACAGAAGTAAGACAGAGAACTGACAACAGCGGCCACCCTTCAGGGAACCCTCGTTGTCTGACAGTCAGCGTTCTCAACACTTTTCACCTGTCATCCCATAACTCTTCACACCGAGTCTGTGTTAGGGATTCTTATCCCCACCTTGCAGGTGCAGGGAAGGGGTCAGTGATCCCTGCAATGATTCCTGTTTCACAGCTGTCTTCTCTGATAGTGAGGGGGGCTAACGTTCTAACTGCGAAGCTAAAACATTGATTCGTTATTTCATTTATGCATTCGTTATCAACGTCCTGCATCTATTTCCCTGAATTAGCCTTCTACCTCTGCTACAAACATAAAAGGCCGCTGAGGAATGTATATGACTTTGAGTAAATGAACTAAAAAAATGCCCTATTTTTGCATTTTATAGTAGGGACAGAAGACCACTCCAATGTTTACATCTAAGACTTCAAATTTGGCAAGAGTGAACACTTAGAATTCACCAAAGGAGATTATGTTGAACCTGTGAATCTTTCTACAGCTCTTTGCTGCTCTTCTTTAGCAAATCCCTCGGATTCTGATAGTGACCACAGTCGTCTTATCATCCGACATGGAAGGCGAACGCTTACAGACTCAAAAACTCTTACGGCCCATACGTGGTCAAGCTAAATATCTTAATTCAGTGTACAGGCAGAGTACCAGCAGTATACAATTGAAGCGCCTTCTATCATGGGGATAGCAAACTAGAAACAAATCATGAATACCCTTCTGGTTACGCATTCAGAAGTATCCTCACCAGGTCAGCCTCTGAACGGGTCCTTTCAAGAAGAGTCAATTTTGTTTCATTGGTAAGGAGAGACATGAAATAGAGCCAGAAGGTTAATATGAGTTTAAGAGGAGCATAGGGTTATCTTGGCAATTAAAGGCTCTCCAGGAGGTTAATTACCCACACCCAGCACTTAAAACTCAACACAATGTATCAGTAGTTACAAAAAAATCTGTGGATAGCATAGAACTCTATTCTGCACTCTGAATGATATTATTTTAACTCAGTGTTTGGAGGACTGAGTTAAAGCAACACCCTTTCCATGATCCATCCAGAAAAAAAGAAACGAATGTTACTGAAACCATCACAGCAAAGTTATATACAGGAAAAAAGTAGCCTGACAAAGAACTATACAATTTAGAAAGTAAGAGCAAGAGAGGGTGCATGCGAGAGAGAAAAGGGGAGATGGAGGGACCGAGGGAGAAAGAAGAAGGCTGGGATTAGCTGAAAACCTCAGCCACCGAGGTCACTAAAAGAAAGAGCAGAAATGATAGGGGCCCTGGAAGACAGGCAGAACGATGGTGGGTGCTTGGGGCTAGTCGGATTGGTTCGGCTGACCCCTAGTGTTTCAGATCTCCACACTGAGAATTCAGAAAAGCCAGCATGCTGCTGGTTAGCCAGAATCATGACAGGGTTTGTATCAGCAGACCCTTCCCTTTGACCGACTGCCTTCACCCTGGTTGAAATCAATTTCTAGGCCCAAGAGGGAACCATTCTGTCCAAGGTGCCACATCAGCAAACTGAAACCTAGGTAACTTTGGTGCCCCTGTAAATGCTCGGGTTGACCAGAACCAAAGGGTATCCAGTCAGTCAATCTCTGAACACCAAGCCAAAGCTGAGCTTTGTGGCCCCAGGCTGGCTGTGTGGCCCCAGCCAGGGAGATATTTTTAAATTGTTCTCTTCTTCGTTCTTTACTCTTCACTCTGTGAACACTTCCTGCCTCCCACCCCATTTTCAGCTACTGAGTGGAGACACCTGCTTCGCAAAGTGTCGACGTTTGTTTTTAGAACCTTAACTGCCTCCTCTAGTTATTTTTTTTAAAAGCCTTCATCCAAACCCATCATCATGACTCATGCGGATCCCTCTAGAAGCTCCCTAGGGTCTCCCCCACTACCAGTGCCCTGTCCCGGCCCGTTTCAGCTCAGCTGAGTAGCTTACACTGGGGCAAGCATATCATGTCACCCAGGCTTGCTGGCTTTCCACTGCACTCAGGAAAAAAAAAAGCATCATCCTTACAACAGCCCTGTTTGCCTTCTGCAACTTCATTTCCTACCCCCTGTACCTAGTTCCACCCTTAAACCCTTAAATCAGACTGGCCTGGGTGATCACACTGGCCTTGAACAGAATCTTGGCTTTATGTCCCAAATGTCACCTACTCAAAGAGGCCCTCCTCACCAGTCTATTGGATGTTGTCTCTATCCCCACTTTCAGACACTATCATGGAGACTTCTCTGAGTGGCCTCGGAGAGCTTGTCTCTGAACTTATAGCCTTAACTTGTTTATTATGTGCCCTCCTGCACCTTCCTGTTTACTTTGTATCCCCAGCATGCAGGGCAGACCCTGGGACCCAGGCCAAGTCCAGGGGCTGCTGTCTGAGGCTCCTGTTTGCACATCAGCTGTCTTGGAGCTACTCTCTCTCCTGGAGCGTGCAGATGAAGTCGGATGTTTGGAAGGCTGAGGTATCATGACACTATATGCTAATAATAAAACTGCAACAGGTACAGCAACTCTTTACTTAGTGCCAGATCCCAGACGGGGTGTTAGACACGTTTTCCCCCCAACAATTCTAGGGAGATGGATAGTGGCTATACGGCACAACTTCCCTAGGCAGATTAATATCTGGTACTGGGAAATGATATGCCAGATACATTGGTGTTACCCTCAAGATGGAAGTATTTGGACAGTATTTATGTAAGTCTGTAAAGGATGCAAAACAGTTAAGGATTCTTCTGGGAAGTAAATTCAAGTGCCTGGAAAACACTCTTCCCTAGAGTCACACTCTGCACCAACCTCCCCCCTCCGGAAGACACCACCCTTTCCAGGCACAAGGCAGTAAGCAATCTCGGGCAGATTCCCCAGCTAATGAGACACCCTCCTTTTCCCCTGTGGGCAGGTAATGGGTTCAACTATATGAGCACGCCACCTCCCCAGGAGTCCTGGCCTCTGTTGCTAAGAAAAGGAGCACATAAATATAATATAAGGTGTTATTATTCTGGCAAATGTACTCTAATTCTGGACCAGACACGAACTGCAGCCCAGTGGTATGATTTAAAAATAAAAAGAATTATAATAATTATTTTTTGGCAGCCTGGAGTCTTTCATCTTTATGAGATGATAGCAATGTTTTAAAAGGATTATCACAGTGCTGCATGGTAATAATAATAATCCTTTATTATGTATAATGCTTTAAGAGTTTTAAAAGAACTTTGATATAAAATATAAGGGTTGGTTCTAATAGCAATCCTTTGAGGTATATGGAGTGGTAATTATTTGCCACATTTCACAGTAGGGGAAACTGAGGTCCAGGGCAATTAAACAGCTTTTAGCCATGCAAGCCAATCTTGGCCGGGTAGCTCCTGGATCCTTAGGCACCACTTCCCGGTTTAGGGTTTGTTAAAGAAATCATTGCTGGTGAACTGATTTAAAGGAAAACACCAGGAGAGATTTGAAGAGAGAGTGTGTGTGTGTGTGTGTGTGTGTAGGACCTGAGGAGTCCAGTAAGCGATTCTTAGGGACTAACAGACCATTTTAGAAGCGCAGATGTGTGATAAAACCTTAATAAAGCCCTAACTTTCAACCATTGTCATCTGTTCCATATCAGACTGTCACACTGAAATCCCAGTGCCATACATACTACCCAGACTCCAAGCTTCCCAATAAAGATACTCTATATGTATAGAAAGAATGTTCCATGAAGCTCTTTCATGTCTATTTTCTCATTTTTTGCCTTATGGTGTTTTTTTTTCTTTCCCTCCAGAAATAACACTTACAGTTTATATTGCTGCTGTTTCTGTCTTAATGAATTATAGGAGTACATTTTATGGTTTCAGAAACAGTTGTCTTGGGCAGTGAATCAACTAGCAGGCTTCTCTTCCTCAACCCTCTCCCCAGAAAAGAAATGAGAAGCAAAAGCAACTCGCGTCTTCACAAATGATGTACTTTGCTCTGATCACAGCCCTTTGGCTCTTTCTCCCTTCACATCCCAGGCCCTGGAGGCTTCCAGGGCTCTGCTTCTGAACCTTCTTTTCTGATGATTGACAGAAGAGCTATGCACCTGCTTGTTTTCAGAGGAAGGCAAAGGCTGCTCGCTCTGCCACCCCCGCTTGGCACATAGGAGTGTGTTCGGAGGAAGGTACCAGAAATCTCCACCTTCAGAACAAAGCAGCCCAAGAAAGACATCTTCATTTAGGAATCCGTAGTTCAAATATATTACAGTTCTAGTTTACGTTGAAGGTTAAAGAAGTTTAGTGAAAGTCAGTTTTAATGAATGCTAGTTCCCTCTATGCACTTACCTCCAGAAAATGTTCTGCCTGCTGTTCTCGATCCAATTTCCTTGAAGTTGTTGTAATCAGACCTGCGTAGAAATGAGAATATTTGACTTTTAAATATCTGGGGCAAGTAGCTTACTGAGCATGGGAAGCAAATCCAGTTAAAGGAAAAGCAAAACTGATGGGGAACAGTAACTCTTCCATCCCCAGTGCCCATCAGGATGGTCTCTGAATTTTTCTTACAACGAAATAAAATTTATAAAGGAAACCTGAAAAATTTGTTCTGGTTCTGCTTACCTCCATTAGGTACTGTAATCACTCTGGGGATGTAGAAACTCACTGAAGAACCATTGTTTTCCTGATAATGAGGAATTTCAATGATTCATTTCCATATGACTGAAATTCTACAGTAAGAACCTCATTAAAGATTTCAGAGTTCTTGAACACTAATAGGTTGTTGATGCTGATCAGAATCAGGCTATGAAGCAGAACTTTCTTATTTAACTTTTTAATGCTGATATAATTTTTTGTTACCCTTGACAAGGAAGGTAACTTCGGTAATAGCTACTTGTACACATAATTATTTCAAATTTAATAACTTATATACCAAAGACCTCACACTGTAATTTTATCATTTTGTTTTATGTGTTGAAATCTTTACACAAAATCAGTTCCACATGGGAAATATCTCTGCATCTTTCCTTCGAATGGTGTTTCCCGTAAATGAATCACCCCTTTGAGTATAAAGACAAAGAAAAGGCAATGAGAAGCCACGACCTTCAAGGCTGCCCAGTTTATTGCACCAATTTGTCTTTTGCAGGTTTTATTATTATTATTGTCAAATGGCAATTAGGAGGTCAAATTTACATTCCATTTCTTGATGCTACACCGTCCCTGAAGAAGACACTATGGATTGGGTTGAACTTGTGACCTGGGCTGATGGACAGAAAAGAGCAGGGGAAATCACATGTCAAGCTTGCTGCCCACACGAGTGAGGTACAGGAAGTATGGAAAAGGCATTTTACCAAGATCTGCTGAGGAGCTCAAGACCTCCAGCTTTTGTTTTACATGTACTTGGTAGGTGGGAGCACGTGGATTTTAGAGAAAGCCAAGAAGAGGCCCCAAGAGGTGAAATGGGCATCAAAATAAAATCCCACTGAGGGTAGCATATCGCTTTACAAAATGGCCCCACTCCCCTTCGCTCTCATCTGTCCACACACCCCATGGGAGGGAAGGCTGTGTTCCCACTCCACAAATGATCTGCCTTTCTGTGAATTCTTTCTGGAACATGCCCCACCCCCCACTGCTTCCCTATGGATGGTTTACATTTAGCTCAGATGTTAGAGAGGTGACCTGTCTTCCAGGGTTAGGTGTCCATCTGGTGTGTCCCAACACAACCGGTACACTCCTTCCTCCATCACGGCTCTTTGCTCTGTGCTAGAATCCGTTGTTCACATGTGTGTATTTCCCCACTAGACAAGTTGACAGAGTTCCTTCATGGGAAGGCTCTGCCTTTTTATTTTGAAGCCCTGCTGTCCCCCTAGCCTCTGGCCTGTAACAAAGAATAGGAACTTCATCAATGCTCCGTTGACAAAAGCTGCTAGAGAGGAGATTATTTATTTTCTAATCTCCAGTTTTGCTGCAGACTTAGAATGTGTTTCTTCAGGAAGGTACTGTTTTGTGTGCTGGGAGAGTGTTTGCAGGTGGAACCGGGGGTGCTGGCTTCTCATATTCATTTGAAACCACATTCGGAGTGTCTCCATGGGAATGGCGCACTGCTAGGCACTCTTGGGATACAAAGATGAGCTACTGTCTGAGATTTTGGAGAGAAGACTGGTATCAAGACTTTGAAGTGGGAGAATCAGTAACTTCTCTTCCCTCGCTGCTCATCAGAACCCCTCCGGGGAAACTCAAAAACTCAGATTCTGTGCCCTAGTCCACCTCTCATTTACTGTGTCCAAGTCTCGTGGGACGATGCCTGAACAGGTTCTCTAATTCTGAAAGGCGGCTCTGTGCCATTCCACTCTCCTTTGTTGAACTCAGCATGACTTTTTATTGACATTAATTTTTCTGCCCAGCCACATCCAAGAATGAAATGCATCGAGCTGCTTTAGCATCTGGCTCAGTGTGTCCGGGGGTAGGGGGCGGGGAGGGTTGGGGATGAATGTAGGGGAGACAGAGATGCTGTGAGTGCCCCAGTGGCTGAGGTGATAAAGGAAGAATAAAGGGGGGCACAGCTCTCTGGTTCAGATTGACTGAGGGTCAGTGTGGTCACACCAAGGGGCGTCTCACACAGAAATCTGACTCTTTCATTTCCAGGCTGTTCTATCCGACAGGGTCACATGTCACAAAGGCACTGTCCAAGTGAGAAGTAACTGTCTTCTCGGAAAGGGAAGGGAGGCTTTCGTGAACCTCAGCACCTCCTCAGGGGGCATCCCCTGTGAGAAGTCACAATGGGAATGAGGAACACTTATTAGAGGGAGGCTATACATGGATGAAAGGGCCATCAGCCTTCACTCTGCTGGTTGCCTGCTGCTCTTACAGGCACAAAAGACCAAGAGCCCTTTGCCCTCTGTTCTCCCTGCGGACACTTGTGTCACGTCCTCACTGGGTCAGGAAGCCATGGACCCCGTGACATGCTGTGCACAGGGAAGAGGTCAGGCTTCCTCTCCTGATTCGTGTTAGGGTGATTTCTTCCTCCTTCCATCTTTCCTTCCTCCCTTCCTCCCTTTCTAAGGAAAGCCACTTATTTGCATAATGCTTATGTAGGACTGAGGGAGCAGTGCGACACCCCTGTCATCTCCATCCCGGGATGTGTTTTTCACATACTTAACAGCCATCCGAGAAAGAGACAGCCTTCCTGAAAAGTCTGAAACACACGCAACAGGGAACCTGCAGCATGACAAAGCCAAGCCGATTCTGTTCCTGGAAGAAAGGCAGGAAAGCCTCTGTAGGTTTTAGTTCCCTGTGTTTCCATTATTGTTATTTTCACAGATAGATGGTAAAAGGCAGGTTAAAAAAAAAAAAATCTAAGTCAAAAGTGAAAATCGGTGGGAAATCAGATGAGGTAGGGTGGTGGACAGGAAATGCTATTTGTGGGGACAAGGTTTCTTCTGGGGTGATGAAAATGCTCTAAAATTACAGACTGTGGTGATGGTTGCACGGTTCCACACGCATCCTGAAAACCACTGAATTGTATACTTTAAATGCGTGAATGTCATTGCATGTACATTACATGTCGGTAAAGCTGTTTAAAAATCAGGAAGAGATCACAAACTGCCTTTTAGATTTTTAACAAGCCCCTCATGTTTGGAGAAGACAGACATTTAAAAATAAATGAATGAACAGACAGAGACATTACTTTAGGAATCAGGCATGAAGAGGGAGGGGTTGGGATGAATGGTGTAATCGGGTGTGTCCACAGGGAGTCAGGGACATAAAAATAATGAACGGAACGTTTTGGGGTTAAAGCTACAACTGGTAGTTATTTGTGCTAGGAAATAATCCTTGTTATGAAGATGGGACCAGCTACACTAAGAAGAGGCAAGAGCTCTCTTCTCTTAAAGAGACACACTTAGATGAGCTCTGGCCCTTAGCAGCACTGGTTTTCAGTCAGAAAGGAATGCAGTGAGCCATCCTCACAGTCCAGAGGAATTTGTCAAAATAGCCAATGCTGTGTCTTCATTTTTAACAACTCTGTGGTCGCTGAATGTAGCTGGGCCTTAGAAAAGAGGAGAGAATAAAACAGAGCACTCTCCCTCTTCAGCTTTTCTGATGCAGCACGGTGGACAGCAATCCCATTGTGTAATCTTGGCAGGAGAGAGGCGTGGACATCACGCATGTAACTGAAGACCCATTGGGCACAGTAAATTGGGGACTGACATGATGAAATTGAATTTCAAAGATAAATCATAGGCGAGCTTTTGAATGTGGTTCGGAGATATAAACAAACACATCATTTGATATAATTACATATGCAAACCTCCAATTTAGGAGGGGAATTGTGCCAGTACTAAGTGAATGATACTCACTAAAGGCGGGGGGGAGCATATGGCTGAAACCATGCAATTACTTTAAAAATGACTAGCTTTGGTTTTTTGTTGTGGAGACGGGGGACTCTCACAATCTCTCTGAGAAACAGCCTGAGCACGAATTTGTCACTCCTGTTCAAAAGAGAACATAGAGTGTCCTAAGTAGTTATGGTCAGAGAAGCCATACTTGTGGGAAGACATCTTTTCCCGGCTTTTTCTCCCTGTGGGTGTCCTGGGTCGCAGCTGTGTAATCTAAGTGTCGTGACATTCACATTTTGTTTAAGTGCTTCTTGAAGCAATGTGGGTCTTAGCTGCTTCAGCATAATTTTCCAGGACTGTTGGAAACTGCGTTTAGTATCAAAAAAACACAACTAGAATTATCAGCCCTGTGAGCTACAATTAGTACTAAGTCCGTCCTTCTTATCTCCATTTCCTCTGCTCTCTACTTCTCCTCGCCCACCCCCAGATATCTGGAAAACCCCTCACCATCCTTCCAAATAATTCACACATTGCCTCTCCACGAAGCCTTCTCTGATTTTCCCTCTAGCGTTTTTCGGGTAACCCATCTGTCGTCAGGATCCCCTTCTAGACCACAGTTCCAAGAAGGCAGAGATTTGGGGGAGTTTACCTGCTGATCTCGGGAACCTAGGGGAGAGCCCGTCACAGTTGTTCAACATACAAATACTATTATCGCTGCACCCACTATGTGGCTCTGTTTGTTAGTGAACTATTCCTAATATGATACAAGTTAAAGGGTAAAAAAGAGATCTTAGTCATCTCATGTTCTTGGTACTTAACATAGAAGCTAGCACCTTGTAAGCAGAACTTGTTTGAAAGAAACTTCCAGAATGCTCAAAGCTGTTTTATACAGAGTGGCCATAATGGTCCCAAACCACGGGAGTTGAAGTGACCTGAACGCTCTATTTCATCCTTTGAGTAATATCAAGGTCTTTCCAATTTCTGGAATTCTCTCTCATGCTGAACGTTGAAGGTGTTTAGAACAACTCCTGACAGCCTGTTCTTTTTGTTGTTATTGTTGATGACAGCTTTTTAAT